CATCATCATCATCATCATCATCATCATCATCATCATCATCATCATCATCATCACCATCATCATCATCATCATCATCACCATCCTTATCATCACTTCTGTGTTTGTACTACTTGTAAAGAATAATGGTTTAAATATTCTTTAAGTTCTAGACAGTGAGATAGGTAGGAATTAATACTATAGGGTTAGTTGTTGGAAGTAAGAGATTATATCTATCATCATCATCGCTGTTGTAGTTGTAGTTGTCATACAGAATTTTTTCTTCCTGGGAAATAGCTAACGCTTTACGTGTGTCTGTTTCTATTTCATAATTTTTTAAACGTTTTTCTGTCGAATAAAAATTCTCTCTCTTTCTCTCTCTCTCTCTCTCTCTCTCTCTCTCTCTCTCTCTCTCTCTCTCTCTTACAATGATATTATCTTCAATTCACCCACTGATTCCTTTGACCCTCGTTTCCAACACCCACAGTTAAATTAAAACATATTCATCTTTCCTTGACCCTTCCTTCATCTTCCCATTTCTCCTGTCTTTCTCTTTCTCTATATTTAATCATAATAATATGTTAAAACATAATTGCCCCATTTCACTAACAACCCCTTGCCCACCCCATGCGCCACCCCCACTCCCCACCCCACCCCACCCTCCTCTCAACAGCGGTTGCTCGACTGCTCAAGTACAGAATCGGCCACGCTTTCAGGCTGACCCCTGAGTCTGAACCCGGCACTTGGTGAGTCACATGTCACGTCCCAACTGTGCATAGTGCATCGCTCAAGCTGGTTTGTTAGAATAACAATTTGACATTCCTTCTAGACACTGTGGAATCAGGCGCTCGTCCATTTTGGATATAAGGAATTACTAATTGTAGAATCCCAAAGCCTTTTCAGTTGCCTTGCTTTATTGGAAATAATACTCATCTATCTTGTATAGGAGTTGAAATATTTGCGATTGATAGAAGTGGGGGTCGTCTGGTGTCAATGGTAAAATTACCGAGAAAATGGCCACCAGAGTTAGTCTAGGTGACTTCCAAAGCTGAAATGTAATTGGAAACTGCAAATTTACAATATGTTTGAGTGTCTTTGGTTAACGTTTTTCAGTGAAATCAAAGTAAACTGTCAAATTAAATGGTTTAACGATGTTGAGCCAAAAACAAATTTAAAAAATAGATCAAATTTGCTCAAAGGGTGGAAAACCTATGACTGTCATTTTCTCAAATTTCATTATTTTAACATGCACCTGATTTCACCACGATGCAACACATAATATTATTATAGGATGACACTTAACTTCATTTTTTCTGAAAATCTAAAGATAATTCACCTTAATTCAGAAAGTTTCTGGTGATGTGAAACAGTGAAAGTAAATTGCTATCTTAGAATTGCAAAGTTCTATCCTACATTTTTGGCCGTTTTGAATTGCTGAGACCATGAGGTCAGGAAATGTATGTTCTATGTGCTCTATCAAAGTAGTTTATTCCAAATCTATCCACAGGCTGACAGCGTTTGTGACCAAAACATTGTGCCACGCCTCAAGGTTGACTTTCGTAGATCACGACACTCTGATCAAGACCAGCTTCCAGTGGCTGCTCAGTCAAGTGTCGGAGAACGGGACCATGGAGGAGAGAGATTGGAGGCTCGCAAATGTAAGCGCTTGCGTCGACATTACCACCTATTGTGAACTAAAGCATAAACATACTAACAGACTTATGCGCATACATACACACAAACACACACACACACACACACACACACACACACACACATACACACAAACACACACACACACATACACACAAACACACACACACACACATACACACAAACACACACACACACACACACACACACACACAAACACACACACACACACACAGACAGTTGTATTATGTTGTGAAAAGCACTTAATTTGCTTCTAAAACGTGTAGTTTCCGACAGGAATAACTAAAACGTCAATGCAGTTGAAGTAATATTCTTTTGAATGAGAAATAATAGACGCATTCCTGTTGAACATTTAATTCTGTAACCACATGGATGGGTAATCTCAGTAAGCAGGCGGTTGGCGGGTGCTTTAATGTAGTTTGGCCCTTCTTTTCTATCTAAGATCTATCGTCCTGATCTCTACTCTTTTTTGTGTTTGTTAATGTTACTCTTTGTTACATTTCTAATCTTCAGCACTGATATGACCTTATTGTGTTGCAAGTGCCGTAAAACTCTTACTAAAATGAAAAACTCAGTGATTCACCTCTTTCTGTCACCAGGATTCCTTCGAGTACCGGGTCATGCTGTCTGCAGAAGTGCTCATGTCCTTACTGGAGTGTGAATTCCCCCAAGACGTGAGCTAAACCTTCAACAAAATCATTAACAACGTTGACTCATTTAGGATGCACAAAACGTGAAGTCGCGCTGTTTTGAGACTCTTTCAAAAAGAAGCATAACTTCCTTATTCACTTTGTTTGAAACATGAAGATGAACAATATGCACAATATGAAAGATACAAATTCGTATTTCTGACTTGTGTATGGTGCCTCAAAATGGGCTGTAATTCAATTATTAGTCAGCTGCTGATCAGGCATATTATGACCGTGTCGGCACGTCTGTTAAAGAGATAATGCCATACGAGTACAATTCTCTCTTATCACAATCGGATTATCCTTGGCGTAGCGGTTAGGCGCTTTGTCGACGCAATCTGAGAATTCGAATTCAACTCCCATATGGAGAGAATTTTTATGATGTGTGACATGCCTTTTAGCGCTGAATGCGTTGGTTATAATTTACATCTCCTTATGCGACGTTCTGGAAACATTTAACAAGCAAGGAAAGCAGTAAACCCTAGTTTCTGAATCTACGATCTTTCGGCTTTATTTTCTGTAACAGTAACTGAGGCATGTCCCTTTTACCGAAGGCTGGGAATCTTTTCAGTTTGAGAGAGAGAGACAGAAAGAAAGAAAGAGAGAGAGAGAGAAAGAGAGGAAGCAAGATAAAGACAGACAGACAGACAGACAGACAGACAGACAGACAGACAGACAGACAGACAGACAGACAGACAGACAGACAGA